TATTGTAGAGATGAAGTCTTGCCTGCCCAGGCGGGTCTTGAACCCGTGGGCTCAGGCAATTCAATCACCTCAGCCTCCCAAAGGAGCAGGATTACAGGTTGAGCCACCGAGCCTGGTTACTTTTGTGGTATTAAGTGCATTCATATTGTTGTGCAACCATCACCACTATCCATCTACAGAATTCTTTTCATCTTGCAAAACTGAAACTATGGCTATTAAACATTTTGTTTGTGCACTCATCTGTTGATGGACACTTGGGTTGCTCCCACCTATTGGCTATTATGAATAATGCTGTTATGAATATGTTCTTTTCAAGTCCCTGCTTTCACTTTTTGGGGTATGTACTCAGAAGTGGAATTACTGAATCATAGGGTAATTCTGGTTTTGATTTTTTTTCCTTTTAAAAATTATCTTCTTACCCTTCCCTTTTTCCTTCCTTTCTTTTTTCTTTCTTTCTTTCTTTTTGTGAATCGGAGTCTCACTCTGTCGTCCAGGTTGAAGTGCAGTGGCATACTCATGGCCACCGCAGCCTCAACCTGCTGGGCTCAGGTGATCCTTCCACCTCAACCTTCCAAGTAGCTGAAACTATAGGCACATGCCACCACACCCAGCTAACTTCCTGATTTACTGTAGAGACGAGGTCTCACCAAGTTGCCCAGGCTGGTCTCGAATCCATGGGCTCAGGCAATCCTCTCACTCAGCCTCCCAAAGTGCTGAGATTATAGGTGTGAGTCACTGCACCCGACCTCCTCCTTTCTTTCTTTCCTTCCTTCTCTGTTTTTGATTTTTTGAGGAATCACCATACTGTTTTCCATAGGGACTGTACCATTTTACAGTCCCACCAACAGTGCACAAGGATTCCAATTTCTCCACATCCTTGCCAACACTTGTTGTTGTTGTTGTTGTTGTTGTTATTATTGATTGGAGTCTCTGTTGCTCAGGCTGGAGTGCAGCGGCACACTCACAGCCACCCCAGCGTCGACCTGCTGGGCTCAGGTGATCCTTCCACCTCAGCCTTCCAAGTAGCCGGAACTACAGGCATGCGCTACCATGCCCGACTAATTTTTTTTTTTTTATTTATTGTGGAGATGAGGTCTCACCAAATTGCCCAGGCTGTTCTTGAACCCATGGACTCTGGCAATCCCCTCACTTCGGCCTCCCAAAGTGCTGGTTCTTACCCTCCACAATGACCAACTTAAACCATTTCATCTTTTGTCTGGATGACTGCAAAAGTGCCCCCACTGGCTTCCCAGCTTCTGCCCTGGTTCCCTGTAATCTGTTCTCAATACCACTGGCTGCTCAGAACCAACAGCAGCTTCCTCTCCTCCTGCAAAATAAAAGTCAAAGTTCTTACAATGGCCTGCAGGGCCCTACATGATTTGCTCCCGCCCTCCCAAACCCTGACTCATTCCCTACTTGCTCACCCAATTCCAGCCACTCTGGCTTTTTTGCGGTTCCAAGCAATCCACTGCCTCAGGGCCTTTTCCTGTTTTCTCTGCCTGGAATACCCCTTCCCTAAGTACTTGTTCCTTCACTTCCTTCGGGTCCTTGTTCCTATGTTCCTTTCTTAATGAGGTCTGTGGGCTTTCTTCTTTGCTCCCCACCCTCCATCCATTCATCCATTTTCTGCCTTTTGCGTCCTATACTGTGCCTGGGCAGAAAGATCCCGAAGAGACCTCATCTGCTGGGCTTTCTTGCCCCTCAGGCTTCTGAGTGGGTTTGCTGATGGGAGGAGATGAAGGGCAAGAGGAGAGAGATGTCGGGGATGTTTCCCTGCACCTTCCTTGCTCTGCTTTGGGCAGTGGCTGCCCTTCCTCAACCACAGCTCTCGAAGTGTAGGGACCCACATTTCTGCTTCTTGTCTGCTCCATCCTTGGACTTCCAATGCCGCCACTTCCTCTCTTTGCCCTTAGTCCTCAAAGTAGTAATGACTTCTGGATCTTGCTCACTGGTGCCTCAACACCCCTATTGGTTCCCTGAATCCTGCCCGTTCCTCTAACCTTTCTTTAAGATTTGAACGTCGGAGCTGGACGCTGTTTCCTGCTAGACCCTGCCGGTAACACCTTCTGATCACTTTATTTACAATTTCCAACCCTAGCCCCTCCACCTGTTCGTGAATCTGCACGGCCGGGTCTGTCCTTGTTCTTCTACACAACACATACTGCCCTCTAACATATCTTTACTGACCATAACACACCTAACATATCTTTACTCATTTATTTGCTTTCCTCTATCCCCGCCCCCCACACGCGTGCTCGCACACACGCACACACTCTGGGATGGCAAGTCCAAGGGTGCGGGGATGTTGGTTTCGTTCACTGTTGTAACCTCAGTGCTTGGCACATAGCAGGCTGTCAGCAAATGCTGTTAGCAAATGAATGAATGAGTGAACGACCGACAAGTGGAGCTAAGAAGGCAGTGGTGTGGTCCAAGCTGCGGCAGAAGAGCTGACTCTCGGTTTTTCCCCTGCTCTCTCCGCCCCCGCCCGGAATGCTGAGTGCCCGGGAAGGAGGCGGAAATGAGCGCGCTCAACAGCCCTCCAGCCGGGTGTTTACTTAATTAGGGCCTGCGTCCCGAGGCTCGTTTGTGTTTAACTGTCCGCCTAATGGCTTCGTCTGGCTCCGGGCGGGCGCGGGGGAACCTGCGAGGCGAGGAGAGGCCTGGCCACCCTGTCCCGCCTGGGGCCTGCGCCATTGCGCGGCGCGGGTGCGCGGGTGCGCGGGTACCCAACCTCCCCTCGGGCATGGAGAGCATCCCCTGCAGGAGAGCGGGGCGAGGGCGGCGCGGAGCTCAGCGAGCTGCCTCGAGCTTTTCCTGCGCGTGGGCCGTCCCCCACCCCCAGCTGCTGGGCCGCCCGCCGAATAGAGGAGCGCTCCCGAGACACCAGATGCCAAGGGCTCGCTTTACTCTCAGCCGTGAAATCGAAGGATTAAGATGCTTCTCACTCTCCTAGTCAGGGGACGTGGGGATGCCGGAGAAGAGAGAAACAGCTCGAGAGACGCAGGAGGCCAAATGAGCCGGGTCCGAGAGCAATAATACCAGGCAACATTTGGGCACTTGCTCTGTGCCAGGTACTGAGTTTAGCGTTTTAAACGTGTTAATTAGCCTGGGCCCGATGGCTCACGCTTATATTCCCAGGGCTTTGGGAGGCTGAGGCGGGAGGATCACTTGAGGCCAAGAGTTTGAGACCAGCCTGGGCAACAGAGCAAGACCCTATCTCAAAAAAAAAAAAAAGTGTGAATGTATTTATTTCTCTTCTCTGTGTGTTAATTCATTTAATCCTAGTACTTTGGAAGGTAGGTGTCATAGTAGCTCCCTTTGACAGATACAGAACTCAGACTCTGAGGGGTTATTTCACTTTACTTCAGTGCTAGTGAGTGGTGAGACCTGGCTTTGAACCCAGGCAGTGCCAGCCCAGCGCCGATGCCAAGTATGTGAGAGAAGGACTGGCACGGTCGTAGCACAAGTGTCCATCGTTTAGTCACAGGCCTGGCGCTAGGTTCCTAAGTGAGACCAACGAATCTATCATGAAAAACTCCAGTCCCTTCTTCCAGCCCCTAAACCTGAGCTGGGGAGGGGAGCAGGGAGAGGGACCAGGAGGCGCCATTCTGAGGTTCTCAAGGCCGGAGCAGGTGGGGGAGGACTCCGGGAGCTTGGAGTGGGACTGGCTCAACTCCGTGGGGAAAAGGGCATGCAGGGTGGAATGATAGTGTCGGAAGGTTTCTGTGCCCCGGGTCCACGTGTGTGCCGCGAGGAGGAAAGAAAGTACTTTGTGTCTAACGTAGTGGAGTGAGAGTAACTTAGAGGAACGAATCTCAGGCTCCGCCGCTGATCTCCCAGGAAGGGTGTGGGACGCTGTTTTCGAAGGGCGACTCACTGGACGACTGATTTGCACAGCAAGCAGTTCTTACTTAGACTATGTACAATATTTCAGACTCATTTTTAAAAAACCGATTTTTAAAAAAATTTGTTCTTATTTACATTTTACATAAAGTTGAGAAAACGCTATTTATATGGGGCGGGGAGTGCTGGAGATTATGGGGCTATTTTTTAAAAAATGTGTTCTTATTTACATTTTACATAAAGTTGAGAAAACGCTATTTATATGGGGCTAATAACCCATAATCACACCCTTTGGCGCCACTACGGATTCCAAACTCCGGGACCTTCTCTGCTAGCCTCCGTGTGTCCAGCTGTGAAATGGAAGTAATGACTCTCGGGCAAGTCGTATCAGATGCTGTACCGCGGTCCCTGAGGACCTCGCTGCCCGTTTTAACCCTCGGTTCCTCTCTGCGGGCTGGCACTGGCGGCCTCCGCCGCAGCCGCGTGTGGGCGGACACGCCGGCCGCCATCAAAGCTTTGGGGTAACAGAGCGCCTCCGGGGAGTGTGAATGAGGAGCCTCTGCTTTCAGGCGCGCTCACAGGCGTCTTCACTTTCTATCCGCTGTAGCCGCAAGGCAAAGACACACGTCTCTTCCCGCGCTGCGAAAGCCGCGGAGCGGAGTGCCGGCTTTTTCCCCCTTGAACCCAGAACCCGAGAGACAGGAACTGAGTCCCAGCCCGGAGCAGCTCCAGAAGAGGCGAGAGCGAGCAGGAGGGCATCGGGGAGGACCGGAGGGGCTTTGCGGGTGCCTTCACCGCGGCCGCCGCGGCCCCACCTGCGAGGGGGCGGGGCCGCGTGGCGCCGGACCAATCAGCACCCACCCGGCTCACCTGGCCTCCTCCCGCGCGCTCCGGCGAGCCGCCGGGCTCAGAGGCGCGCCGAGAGCTTAGCGGCGTCAGCGCTTCACCCTCTCGCTCCGGCCATGGGACTCCCCAGTGGGCCTCTCGCGTCCCTCCTCCTCTTCGTCCTCCAGGTACTCCACAGCCGTGCCCTGACTGCTCCCTGGAGGGCGGGCGGGGTCCGCACGCGGCGGCGGCGGCGGCGGCGGGGAGTGCGCGGGACCGCGCTCCTTGGGGCCGGGGGAGCCCCGGAGACCCCGCAAGGACTCCGCGGGATGGGGTGTGCGGGGCGGCCCGCTTCACGCCCAGGCTCCCTCTTCCCCCCTCTTCACCCAGGCACAGGTTTGCTGGCTGCCGCGCGTGGCCTCTGAGCCGTGCCGCGCGGACTTCGGGGTGGCTGAAGTGACCTTGGACGCGGGAGGCACGGAATTGGAGCCAGGTCAGGCGCTGGAGAAAGGTAAGACACCCCCTTCCCCCGCACCGGGCGGCCGGGGTGGAACCGCGGGGCTGGGGGCCGCACGTGGTCCGCTCCGCTGTGGCCCGCGCGGGGGGTGTTCAGACTGGGTCAGGAGATTTCTAGCGCCACCCCAGGTTCTGGGGAGGCGCAGAAGGCGTCGGGGGGGGCTCTGGGATTTGGGGGGGTTACGGGTGGCTGAGGGAGAAGGCTGGACAGGACAGCATAGCGGCCTGGGACGTGCAGTCCCTCCTTGTCCCGCAGCTGCGGCTTACCTTGACCCCCTCTTTTGGGGTGCCGGTCGACTGAGCCCCTTACCCAGCCCCGACGTGGGAAGCTCTTCCCCGCTGGCCTCAGGAGGAATGCGCCTTCCACATTCTTCCTCCGACCCCCGCGCAGGTGTGGGGATGAGCCATGCCCGGGGCAGCCCCCTTCGCCCCTCTCGGGCCCCCTTTGTGAACCGTGCTTTGTGTCTCCGACAGACAGACCGGGTCTGTTTCTCTTCTCCGCGCTCCCCTCCCCCGCCCCCCTTCTCCGGCAGCTGGAATGCACTCTTAACCCTGCCCTTCCCGGAGGGCCCGCGCCCCTGCAGCCTGCTTGGAAACTGGCGCCTGGCACACCTGGGCCGTGGCCATCAAGTACTGGGACACCCTGTCGCCAGTGTCTTGGGACTGGGCACTAGGTTGTTGGGGGGAGGGGAGCGTCCCGAGCCGGCAGGCCTTGGGCTATGGGGGCGGTGGATGGAAGATCAAAGCACATTTTTGATCTCCCAATTACTCATTCCCCCCAAGTTCAAAAACATGAGCTTGAGGGTCACTTTGAGGAGAGCCAGTGTATTATGAGACCCAGGCAGCTGCAGGCTGGTGGAGGGCTCTTTCCCTCCGGTGGAGAGGACAATGAGGACTCCTCCAGGTATGAAACCCAAGTTCTTAAACAGGGGTGTAACCCTAGATCCTTGGGTGGAGTTTCAGAAGATCCTTAAACTGTGAAATTGTTTGAGAACTTGTATATGTGGTTTTTTTGGGAGGGGGTGTATAGCCTACTTGGCTTTCAAAACATCGAGAATCCTTTCTACCTAATGCCTTCATCAACATGCCCTTCACCCCAGATACAAATTTCCACTGCTTGAATGTGGGGGTGTCAATGCCTGGGGAACAGAGTATCTTTCCTTTGTTTCTCCTAAAGAGGATTGGGGACCTTGAGTCCGTGGAAGCCTTTTTAAAAATTTCTTTTCTTAAATAACTCTGCAGATTGACAAAACAATTAACACCCAAGCTAGGCCAGGCTCCTTAAACCCTCAGCTATAGGGAGCCTAGGAGAGGCATTAAGAGGCCATGCCTCATAAACTTTAAATTCTTGTGCATGGGTTTATTACTGGCTGGCTAACAAACTGCAACTCAGCCAACCTGTAAAAATGTTAACTTGGGCAGGGCCCCAAATCCAATTCCGGCTCCCTGAGGAAGCTTTATTGCTAACCAGATCTCTGCCAAATCTACACCCCTCCTCTCCATTGTCAAGTTCTTGGAGCAGGCTCCAAGCCTGCTGTGGCTTTGAGTGTTGTCTGAGCCTTATCTTTTTTGCCGAAGCAAGAAATATCAGATTAGCTGTCACTTCACTAGGTTGAGGTTGTTGGGGGAAGCAGTGATCAGGTTTTCTATTTCATGGTCGGGTTGGCCAGTGCTTCCTGATGACATCAGCCATTTTAAGCCTTTTGAGGAAATTCAGCTTTCTCGGATGTCTGGTTTATGGTTGTGAAAATGGTGGTTTGTGCCAGGAGCACACCTGGGTTAGAAAACAAAGGGTGGGTTAATACGCTTAGCCTTACCTCAAGTCTCCCTGCAGCAGGACTGGTTCTTAGAGTAGGCTTCCTGTGACATGAGCTACCGCTTTCTTTAAGTAAAAAGTTTCTGGGCCCAATTGGTCCCAATACATCAAGACAAAATATATAGGTATTTCTCCCCTGAGCCTTCAGCTGACACTTTTCTACCTCTTCCCACCCCTCCCCCACCTTAATTCCTCATCCTTAAAACACAGGAACTCCAGCCTGGATCCAGCCCTGTTGAAAGGGTTATCCTGCAGGTACATATAAACTCTGAAGTTTGGCCAAGCAGACAACAGTTTCCATATTGCTAAGGAACGTTTGCCCCAATTGTTCGCCCCTGGGTTATGAATATCAAGGATGTCTATGAAGTTCAGCTCAAAGAAATTATCTGATGTAATTAATACCTTGTTTGTATGTGCATCTTCCTCTTCAAAGCCCTTCTACAACTCTGAGCTTGCTTTATCCTCCCAACATTCCCTTGAAGCAGGTAAGGTAAATATTAAACAAGTTGAGCTCTTAATCTCAGAGTTGGAACTTCAGAAAAACCTGTAACCTAGCCCTACGTGAGGTTTTCAAGGTGGAGAAACAGAGGCACAGCTTAATGAATTCAATTCACTAGGCTAAACAACTCCTGAACTCCTTTGAGGGTCACAGACACCACTTTGATCTCTTGGTATACGCTCAGGACCTGGTACTTAATAGGATGCCCATAGGTATTTACAAAGATTATGACAACCTTGTGATGGTCAGCCGTTTTTTACAGATCAAACCTAAGCAATTGTGACTTCACCAAAGTCATCATTCTAGTGATCAGCTGGATTTGAGTGGAAGTTTCTGACTCCCAAGTTCCCTGGCACTTTTTACTACCAGAAAGTAGGAGATGGGTGAAAAGTGGTGGGATGTTGGAACCCTGAGTCCCACAGCTACCAGGAACAATCCTCACCTCCAAGATCATTTAGTCATTTATTCCTTTTGTAGAATTTTCCAGAACTTTCCTGTAGAGGGAACTGGCTTGTATACAATTTCTAAGGGTCCTAGTAATGGGGGCTGAGTAGACCAAGAGGAGAGGTTAATCTGGAGGGAAGGAGAGCGTCTGGGGCCCACTTTCCCTCAAGGGTGTTTTGGAAGCAGACAGTGGAGAGGAGGGTGGAAGGGACTTGCATGGTTCATGCCATGCTTCAAATGAGTAAGCTACAATGGTCTCCCCATCCTTACTGGTGAACAGTTGAGACTGGCAGCTTCATGGCAGTAAAACAGATCCAGTACTTCATTATGGTCCTCAGCATGGTCAGCTGACCCTTAGTCAACCTTTGAGAAGAAACTTCAAAGTTCAGTAATGAATCTGAATATGAGTTAATGTCAAGATGGTTTTGTTTATTTCAGGTGTGGGCATAAAAATTGCCCTTTATTTTGGAGCCCCTACCTACGCGGGGCTATGCTCTCTATTTAAATTTCTTTCTTTCCATAAGCATATATTTAGCATCTACATGTTCTGGAACTGCAGCTCAAGCATTGAACAAAACAGTCCCTGCCCTTGGGGAGCTTGCAGTCTAATGTTAGTATTTGTCTGTGCTTATGGCTGCCTTGCAAAGCAAGTGGTGAAAACTTCCACTTAGCTGTAAAATGAGGTTAAAGAATTCTGAGAGGTCATGAGGTAATCCAGCAGTAAGACCAGAATTTAAATCCTGGTTGTCTGCCTCCACAGCCCGGGGGGAGTCCTCAGTGCCCCATAAATCTGCCTCTGAGGAATGAATGGGAGCTGGGGCTTGAGCCTCATGGCTCAGCAGCAGAGTAGGGTTAGTTGCTGAAGACGGTCCTGCATCACTGTTAGCTTGTGCCTGGGGAGCAGGTCTCAAACCTCTAGTCTCCCTCCCCCCCTCCTCACATGGCACTCTGTTCCTAGGCTACCCAGTGCAGGGCTCCCTCTCCTCCCTGCTGTGGAAGACAGGCATTGCTCATGATGAGGTGAGGTTCTGGGGCCAGAAACCATCTCTGCAAAGCATTTGGAGAAGGAGGGAGAGAAGGGCCTCCCCTGCCCAAACCAGTTGAAGCTTTGGTCCTGAGGCTGGGTGGTCTCGTTTCAAAGACCCACTGTTATTGAAGAATAGCAAATAGAGAAAAGTGCCAAATGGTAAGTGCAGCTTGTGAGGTTTGTGCACCACAAACCTCAGACCCCCATGTACCTAGCCCACAGATCGGGAAACAGTGTTGCTAGTGCCTGGGATGCCCCTTCCCTTTCAAGGACCCTCCCCCAAGATAACCACTATTCTGATTTTTTTTTTTTTTTTTTTTGAGTTGGAGTCTCACTTTGTCACCTAGGCTGCTTGCTGGGCTCAGGCAATCTTTCAGCCTCAGCTTTCCAAGTAGCTGGAACTACAGGTACGAGTCATCATGCCTGGCTAATTTTTTTTTATTTATTGTAGAGACAGGGTCTCACCAGGTTGCCCAGGCTGGTCTTGAACCCGTAAACTCAGGCAGTCCTCTCACCTCGGTCTCCCAAAGTGCTAGGATTACAGGTTTGAGCCACCATGCCTAGCTATTCTGACTTTTTCTTCTGACTTTTAATGTCATGGTTAGTTTGCCTGCATTTGAACTTTATGTAAAAGAATCATAGTTATCTCCTTGGATCTAGCTTCTTTCACTGTACAGTTGTGAAGTTCTTGCATAATTCTGGATGTGGTTATGGTTGATTCATTGTATAGTATCCGTTGTGTAACTTTCCACAATGGGCATTTAAGTCATTTCTGTTTTCTGGCTATTACAAGTAGTGCTCTGAACATTTTTGGGCAAGGCTTTTGGTGAAGGCATGTACCTGGATCTGGTAGGTATAGACCTGGGAGCACAATTGCTGGGTTAACTGAGGATTATCTGAGAATCCCAACACTGTGATCCTGTATGGAGAGGTCAGCTCTTCTCTGTCCTGAAGTAGCTGGGTCTCTTCTGGATCCTCCTATGCCAACAGACCCATGCCTTTTGGATTCTTGAGTCTCATCTGGCACTGTGCTAAGAGACAGCAAGTCTTTATGATGTACTTGGTCCCATCATTTGTGTGGAGGCAGTCTTTCTTTGTTCTTAAGCTAGTACTTGCTTCTTTTCCCCAAAGTAGAAAGGGAATCTGAAAGGACCCTTAATCACTTAGGTGAGAACGTCTTCCTGGCTGGAGATTTTTATCCTGGCCAGT